CTGCTGCTGCTCCTGGCACAGTTGGTGGGCCGGGCAGCGGCCGCGTCCAAGGCCCCGGTGTGCCAGGAAATCACGGTGCCCATGTGCCGCGGCATCGGCTACAACCTGACGCACATGCCCAACCAGTTCAACCACGACACGCAGGATGAGGCAGGCCTGGAGGTGCACCAGTTCTGGCCACTGGTAGAGATCCACTGCTCGCCGGACCTGCGCTTCTTCCTGTGCTCCATGTACACGCCCATCTGCCTGCCAGACTACCACAAGCCGCTGCCGCCCTGCCGCTCAGTGTGCGAGCGCGCCAAGGCCGGCTGCTCGCCGCTCATGCGCCAGTATGGCTTTGCCTGGCCGGAGCGCATGAGCTGCGACCGCCTCCCTGTGCTGGGCCGTGACGCTGAGGTCCTGTGCATGGATTACAATCGCAGCGAGGCCACCACGGCACCCCCCAGGTCCTTGGCCCCCAAGCCCACAGTCCCAGGCCCGGCGGGGGCGCCCTCCTCCGGGGGCGAGTGCAGCGCTGGGGGGCCGGCCATGTGCACGTGCCGCGAACCCTTCGTGCCCATCCTGAAGGAGTCGCACCCGCTCTACAACAAGGTGCGGACAGGCCAGGTCCCCAACTGCGCAGTACCTTGCTACCAGCCGTCCTTCAGCCCGGACGAGCGCACGTTCGCCACCTTCTGGATCGGCCTGTGGTCCGTACTGTGCTTTATCTCCACCGCCACCACGGTGGCCACCTTCCTCATTGACATGGAGCGCTTCCGATACCCCGAGCGCCCCATCATCTTCCTTTCTGCCTGCTACCTGTGCGTGTCGCTGGGATTCTTGGTGCGCCTGGTTGTGGGCCATGCCAGTGTTGCCTGCAGCCGTGAGCACAGCCACATCCACTACGAGACCACGGGTCCCGCGCTGTGCACCGTCGTCTTCCTGCTCGTCTACTTCTTCGGCATGGCCAGCTCCATCTGGTGGGTCATCCTGTCGCTCACCTGGTTCCTGGCCGCGGGAATGAAGTGGGGCAACGAGGCCATCGCAGGCTATGCTCAGTACTTCCACCTGGCCGCGTGGCTCATCCCCAGCATCAAGTCCATCACGGCACTGGCACTGAGCTCCGTGGATGGAGACCCTGTGGCTGGCATCTGCTATGTGGGCAACCAGAACCTGAACTCACTGCGCGGCTTCGTCCTGGGCCCGCTGGTGCTCTACCTACTGGTGGGCACACTCTTCCTCCTGGCGGGCTTCGTGTCGCTCTTCCGCATCCGCAGTGTCATCAAGCAGGGTGGCACCAAGACAGACAAGCTGGAGAAGCTCATGATCCGCATCGGCATCTTCACGCTGCTCTACACAGTGCCCGCCAGCATCGTGGTCATCTGCTACCTGTACGAGCAGCACTACCGCGAGAGCTGGGAGGCGGCGCTCACCTGCTCTTGCCCCAGCCGCGACACCACTCAGCCGCGCGCCAAGCCCGAGTACTGGGTGCTCATGCTCAAGTATTTCATGTGCCTCGTGGTGGGCATCACGTCAGGCGTCTGGATCTGGTCGGGCAAGACAGTGGATTCGTGGCGCCGCTTCACCAGCCGCTTCTGCTGCGGTCTGCGGCGTGCACACAAGAGTGGCGGTGCGGTGGCTGTGGGGGACTACGAGGCGAGTGCTGCTCTCACAGGCAGGACCGGGCCACAGGGCCCCGCCGCTGCCTACCACAAGCAGGTGTCCCTGTCGCACGTATAGGAGGCTAGGCCACCAGGCCGGGAGCCTTCCTGGAAACTGGGGGAGGGGCTGGCTAGGTAGCTTTTCGAAGGTCACTTCTGTTTACCTTCGTGGTGCTGATGCGTCCCCCCCTCGGGGTAGCTTGGGGCCATCTCCAAGGAGTTTGGGTCTGCTTCTCCGAGGGGCTCAGCTCACGCATGTTGTTTTGCGATTTTTACTGCATTCTTTACAGGAATCCTTTTTTTAATTTATATGTATTTTTCTTAATTTTTAACTTTGTTGCATTTTGGCAACACAATTTACCTTTGCTTGCGGGGGACTTTACATTCCTAAAGTTGGCTTTGTAATGAGTTTCTTCTTGGTTCAAATTTCTTTGAACTGTGTGGTCTAAAATGGGAAAATATATTTCCTGTGTCTTTTTTTTAAAAAATGTGAACAGTGAAAATTTGGGTTGCTGCGACTGGGATGGTATGGAGTGTCTTTTTCTTCCACTGTTTAGTGTCCAACGTGCTTTGAGGCCAGCTGCTTCTTCCTGTGTTTATCCCCAGACCTCCCGAGGGGCGGAGCCTGATGTGGTCAGAGCCTCCCCAAAGTGACGGGTGGGGAGCGCCAAAGGACTTCCCCTACATCCTTAACTTGGCGTTCTTTTAGCATGCCTTGTAAACATTCTCATTGAGAGCCAGGATCCTGTGTTGAGTAAAGGTACATTATAGTGTCCAGCATAAACATTTGCAATAGCGAGAGCCCAGATTGTGATTGGTTGAGCATGAATTCTATACTGGTTAGAGGGTGAGCTTTGAGCTGGAGAGGGGGAGTGGAGTGGTTCTTAATAAGCTTCAGTGATCCTTTATTATTTCTATTCTTTTAAAAAAACTTGTGTTACAATTTTGGTGAAAGTAAACCCACTACCTTCTTAAATTACTTAGGGATCATCACTAAAGGGTGCTCCCTTTTAAACTGAAGGACTAAAGCGGATATGCTTCCAGTAATTAAAGTACATTTCCAATGCTTCTCTTATCTGCTCCTGCCCCCCACACACACCTCCTTTATCATGTTAAACAGCCTTTTTGCTTTTCTTATTCCGTCTCTCCCGGAGAGCCCTGATTAGAAACCACACCCACCCCAGCGTTTAGACTGGGGAAGGGCGGCTGGCTACCTGTGAACAGAATTGGCTGCTCTGAGAGAAAACAAGTGTGTGACCCTGGTCTCTGCCGGTCTGGAGCCAGATGTCCCCAGAGCAGCAAGACTGCACTTTCTGCAATCTGAAAACAAATGAAACCCATAACATCTCTGTGTAATATCTCAGATATGAATCGCTTAATGTTGCTGTGAGAGGAAAGCTCTTTTCTCCCTTTCCTGTTACTCTTCCTCACCTGAGAAAGTCCATGCATGTATTGATGAGCACAAGCACACACATGCCCGCGTAAACACACACATACACACACACGCATACGCACACACACAATTTTGCTGTTAGAAAATTGCTTTCCTCATCTAACTTTCCTTCCTGCACGTATAAAAGCTTATACACTGATGAATATACACACATGCACACAGGTTTCTTTGCCATTAGAAAGTTATGTTTGCTTTCTTAATCTATTTAAAGGTTCACTGATGAAGAGTGAGGCCATAGCAGTGGGAGGGCAACAGTGCATCTGCTGACAAACACCGGAGACCCGGCCTGGGTGGGGACTGACTTGAAGGAGCTAAAGTGGCCGGAGTCATTGCTAGGAAAACAACTGGAATCTTGGCACTTGAGCTTCATTTGCACCGAAGTTGGAAAAGTAAAATTTCAGCATAGGTTAACATTACTGTATGGGTGTAGAGTAGATAAATGGGAATTTAAATACTTAGCTGATGAGAAGCTTAGTACTCTAGTTTGAAGGCCTTTCAAAGACTGTCCACATTTCTTAAAAAGCAGCTCATCCTGTGACCAAAATTAAAGTTTCAGTGGATTCCATAAAACCTAGCAGCCATAGCTGCTGAGCTTTTTGCATATCTTATCCTATCAGGAAGCCTCTTCCTAGAACCTTGTTACAGACCCCCAGGCCCCAGCTCCTCTCCTGTTGCAGATCACCTTGACCTTGTCTCCCTCAGTCTTCCCAGGAGCTATTATTGCCTTTGGTCCTTGTGCCTGACTTGGGCTGGCCCCACTTCCTTTTTCTTTAAAACAGAATGGTGAGCTAGGTAATGCTTTGGGGGTCCTGTTTCAGAGGCACCTTTTCATGTCATTTCTCTCCTCTGCCTTTTCTCATTCCCTAAGAGACAAAAATCCAACCCACCTGCTTCCCTCAGGTCTTACTAATAGCAGCCACCTTGTCCCTACTGGGGAGAGAAGCTGCATTTATTTATGGCCACTCCCTACTTTCACCCACATACTTACTTTCCTCCACTCTGCATTTTTGTTGTGAAAACAAATCAGACTCATAAAAATAACTACAAAATGTAAGGCTGTGGGGGAGTTTAGCTACTTCCGGGCAGTCTCATGAAGTTCAGGTGGACTCAGGGCCCACTTTTGTCCCAGATGTCCTTTCCAGGCTGCCCTGTGGCTGCTCAGTTTGAAGCACTGTCTCCCTTCTTAGGTCAAGGGGTGAATATTTGGAAGATTTTCACAAGGAATAATGGCACCTCCAGAAATCAGGTGGTCACTTTATAGAAAGTTCTTAAAATGTAATATTATTTCCCTCCTCACATTTTGAAGTTGTCTAAATTGGCTGGAAATCATTTTTCTCGGTGCCTTATTGGTTATTCTGTCAGATGTTCACGTGACCACCGCCAGTGGCCATGGCCTGTATGTATGTGTTGTGCGTAATTGTGTGCATGTGCAAGCTTAAATAATGTGCCGACAGCACTGTTTCAAAGTTGGTATTCATTAGGCTGTCCCCTCCTGGGCCAGGGCCGCACTAATCTTGACACAGGCTGCCAGGAGAAAACCTCACGAATCACACACGGCACCTTCATAGCGGCATCCGTGACCTGCACTCTCCAGTACAGAATGGGAACCCCAGAGCTAGGAAGCGCAGTTGTATATTTTAATGAACTGCTACCCCTGCTAAGAAGCTTCTTTCACTTTTGTGTGCTACAGAAAGACCAAGGGGGAAAAGAGGGACAAAGCTTTGAATAACTGCTTTCTAACACCGAATGTGGTGAACGGGACGGAGCACATCACAAATCTAGGCAGGTGTGAGGTATGGCAGCTAAGAATGGCCTGCTCCCTCTGTGTGCCCTTTCTTGTTTCCAAAGTCCAATCAAGTGATCCTGGGGAAGGGAGATGCCTGGGATGGGGAGGATGGTTCTGCAAGAAAAAGCTGCCAAGACATTAAAGAAGGGTGAAAGTAGGCAGGATGTAAGTAACCAACCTGACTCAAAAGTCTCAGAAGCTTCTAGTAGCTTGATGACAATGACAGGATTTCTTTCAGCCAGAATAATGTGTCTGTGGTACATCATTTATAACAATATTGCTTCATGTTGTTACAAACTGTATAATATGTATGTTTCACTGGTGTACATATACATAATATATTATATATATGAGAGATTTAGTGACTTTTGATACGGGTTTGGTGCAGGTGAATCTATTACTGAGCCAAATGAGGCACATACTGAGTCAGTAGCTGGAGTCCAGGGCATTTGATCCTTTTTATGGTTTCATGTATGTACAGTGCCTATCCCACCCAGCACAGTCACGGTCAACTCAGCCAGAACTCGCAACGCAGAGCCAGAAATATTTTATTTGTAGACAATCAACTCAAATCTATAAATTATTACTGGCAAATGATTATAATTCTGAATCCATAACTCTAATGAAACACAGAGCATCTTGATAAGGTTTTATTTTGTTTTGTTCCTGGAAGTCAGTAGCACAACAATTATCTGTGGTTATGTTAGTCTCAAGATACTTGTCAACCTTACTATTTCAGAAAAATTTTGTATGTATTATATTTGTGGGAAGGTAAAATAATGGTTTGAGATTTTTATCAAATATGGAGATTAGTTATTTATGAAAAACAAAGAAATGTCTATTTTTGTTTCTTTGTTCCCAATTAATGTAGATAACTTTTAAAAATGCATTAAAGTAATGGTAAAGAAAATTAAAAGTTGCTGTAGTTTTGTCTCCTTGTTTTTAATGGAGAGACACTGCTTTCTAAGAGTATCCGAGGAGATGTGGATTCTAACTTCATAATCAGATTTCTCAAATGTACTTAAATATAAGCAGCAAATTTTTCATTAATAAGTAAAATCGGGCAAATCCCAATCACCAGAAGCAGAACTAATTAAAACATGTTTTACTTGACTGTATCCTAAGTTTCTCCTTCTGATCCTGTTTCATTACTCTCTTGAAGAAATGAAGGATGCCCCATGGTAGGATAGAGACTGCCCAGTTGTACTGTTTTGTCAAGCCTGTCTGTGCACCGAGTCTGTGTGGACAGACAGTGTGCACTGGGGAGGGGTGGGTGTTGGATCTGCACCAGGTATTGAGGGAGCCCAGAAAGGGGATCTAAAGAATTTTAGAGGTGACACTTCCCTGTTCATCTGGAAAGATGCTCTGTAAGGATCAATATTGTCACTAGAACACGTTCCACTGATGGTGGCTTTGCCAAATGCACATAAGCCGTCAGTGTACCAAACTCCCTCTCATTTTAATGCTTGGTGTTGTTAGTGTTCTTCAGCTGTGTACCTATGCAATGCTCTGGGAAAGTGTGGGAAAGCATGGGTAACCAGAAATTTAATATGTAGAGAGGAGACAGCACAGCCCACTCAGGTGAATAACAGTATGAGAACAGGTAACTAAATGTCAGTGTGCTATGGTACTGGAGGTAGGGCAGTGGCTGAGCAGGACACTGACAGGGCAGCTGCATCTGCCACACAGAGGACTGTAGTTGACAATCCTTTGCCTGCTTCAATTAAAAAGGCAAAGGGCTATCACCAGTGGGAGCAGGGGGACTTTAGAAAGTTGGATCTGGGATGGTATTATTGATTAGTGCTGCTTTTGGTGAGTTAGTTACAGAGCTGTTTAGTTTGTTACGAGAGAAAAGTTGAGAGGCAGATGGTTTTGTGTAGATTGGGAAGCAGACTGACAGCTCATAGCTCCTGTTCACTGGCTGTGATCGAACACTTGTACCTTTGGAGTTCACTGTTCTCATCTGTGAAAAGGGGATAAAGATAGTAGTGGCAGTATATCTCAGGGATCAGATATAACTTGTTCCCACTGGCTTGAGCTACTGGTGGACTGTCCCATTTGGCAGCTCATAGCACACGTGGGACTGTCCCATGCCACACAGTAAGATGGTCATGCATGTACCACTAGTGATTCAAGTTGCCTGGCAGGAAGACATGAATTAGCTCCATCATGAACACGTTAAAAGATTAAATCAAGTTAAAGTAAATAAAGCAAGGAGGCAGCAGCTGTTGAGGCATGGAAGGGAAAGGAAACAGAAGTTTTAAAGTTTGTGTAAGAGTCACTTCCACTTCAGCCTCAGAAATTGAGCTTTAGTAGCTGTGGGACCCGAGACAAACTTTTAAATTACTCCAAAATTTTAAGTTGCAAAGATAAATCAGAGTTCTTGTATGCCTCTAATGTTAACATCTTAAATACAGTACACATTTGTTGTAACTAAAGTCCATGTTGGCATGTTACTGTTAACTCCAGATGCCACTGGATTTCCTACTAATATTGTCGCCTATTTTAGGATCCAATCCATCTCATTAGAAAAGCTTCCAATTTCAGTTGATCAGAGGCTGGTGATCTGAGAACCACATCTTGAGAAAAACTGGAACATTTAAGGAACTAAATGTACAATTTGTCTCATACTCAAGTCAGGGAGATGAAAAGTTTTATTTGTTTTTTTTTGTTGTTGGTTTATTTTTGGTACCAGGGATCGAACTCCAGTCCTTGTGCTTGCAAGGAAGGCGGCGGAACCACTGAGCTAAATCCCCGGCCCTTTTTTTATTTGTTTTTTTGGAAAACAGTTTTAAAGCATAAGAGAATTGGTTGAACAATGAATACAGTTTTGAGTTTTACAAATGGAGGGGGTTAATTTAGAAACAGGCATCTAATGCCAGATGAACTACTACTTACTGAAAAGTAAGATACTGCCTTGTTCTTGGCCTAGACTGAATATGTAATACCAAGGTCTGTGAAGTCAGCAGACTGCAAAAAGCACAGTAAGCTGGGAATAACTGCTTTCAGGAACACAGCAGAGCTCAAACAGGTGAGCATTTGGGATCCCTAGGGAATAAGTGAGCCTGTGCCCCATGTAAAAACCTGTATTTCTGCCAGGTGCAGGCCTGTAATCCTAGCACTTGAGGTAGGAAGATCACTAGCTCAAGCCCAGCCTAGGCAGTTTAGCGGTTAGACCCTATCTCAAAAAATAAAAAGGGGTAAGGCTGTAGCTCATTGCAAAGGCCCTGGCTTCAATCCCCAGCACTGCCATAAATAAAACATGCATTTCCTCAAACCTCATATTCCTGCTTTGAAAGTGGTCAGTTTCCTATATTAAGCACTGCTATGTTGGTCAGTAGTTTTCAGCAAAGCACTGGTGAAAGGTGAGGTGAAGGCACACTCTAAGGGCTCTGCCTTGATGGCAAATCAGTCCGCATACTAAGGAGATTCAGAAGCCACCACCTTGGGGCTACAGATAAAGGGCTGTAGAACTGAGGGGAAACATAAAGCAAGTTTTAAAATGTTGGAGAACTAATTTGGGTATCCTTTGAGGTCTTTTGAAGCAGATACTGATTATCTCACAGAGGATTTATGTTTTGGGCCTATCAACTAATTTCTCTAATCCCAAACTGCTTAGCCCTTACAGCAGGTGTGAGTCACCTAACCTGTTCCTCTTTAGCACGCGTGCGCACGTGCATACACACACACCCCAGGATTCAGTCCTCTTTCCTGTGATTTCACATTCCCAGCTGTTCTCCTTAAGCCCTGGAGATTCAAATTGGTATTCCTAAGGTTTATCTCTCGGTATGTCCCAAGTTCTTTCTTAACTTGCCAAACCCACTTAAAACAGTTCAGTGAGAATTGCTTTAGAAACCAGATTGGGGAAACAGATACTACTAAAGATTGAAATTAGCACTTACCTGGGATATTTTTCTACCAGCTGTTAGGTGCTTTTCCAAGTTGTTCTATACTCAAGAATGAAGCTTCTGGGTAAGAAGACAGTGGCCGGTCATCCTAAATGTGGCTAGTGAGAAGGGTTGGGTAGTGAAAGGTAAATGAGCTGGCCTGCATGTGGTAGTTTCCAAAAACACTGCCTAACGTGAATACAAAATGAAAAATGTTTTGTGGTTAATACAAGCTGTAAGTCAGGAAGAATACTGCAGAGCTGTAGAACGAAATCAAGTTGCTATAAAGCAGGACTAAGTGCTATTGGATTTCAGTAACTTGAAGGCGTATGGAGGTTCATGAGAGGAAATGCGAGTCTGATGTATGCCTGTAACCCCAGCATTCAAGCAAGGAGGATCTTGAGTTTGAAGCCAGTGTGGGACACAAGGTAAGATCCTGTCCCTCAAGTGGGTGGGGAAGAGTCATACAGGGATAAACCACATGAAATTCTTAGCAGGCAACCATATTTTGGACTTGAAAAATGGGTTTCATTGGTTTTAAACATTTCAGACCTTTGTCTCTTCTTGCCAATGAAGATGTTACAAGTTCAGTTAAAATTTGAGGTCTTTTTTACAATAGTAGAAAAACCAAAACCTCAAATCCCCAAAATGAAATTTGAATCCAGGCAGGTAACTCAATTTTATAATCTTCCCATTACAGAACCTTAAGACTGCCATTTGCCACCCCACTAACAACTTGGTTTTCATGTCCCATGACACTAAAGAGCTTACTCAGTTCTAGTGCTGTTTATATTACCTGAAGTTGACCCAATTACCCATTTTCAGAATGGCTGTTCTGCTTCTAGAGTTAAGACAAAATGGGGAACAGCAATTTTAGTGATATTCTGAATTTACAGATTCATGTCTAGTGTCCTGCTCCCAAATAGTTTTTAAAACTAATTTCAGCTTTTGTGCTTAGTGGCTGACATAGAGCTCAAATCATCTTATAATGATTTTATAATTTTCCCTTATAAACCACATCAGGTTATCCTAATCAGGAATGTATAAAGAACAAAATGATTAGTCATTTAAAGATTTAACTACTGAAAAAAATTACAAATGGATGAATACAGAGCAATACTGTCAGGACTAAGAATTACTGAAGCTGAGCAGCTAAGCTACTCAAAAGCAGCTTTGCGATGTGGTGGCTTTCTAACTGAAATGCAGGCCTGGGAATAGCATGTAGAAGTCAAGTTATATGCTTAAGTGACCCTGTGTACAGCAAGTTCAAGTCTAGTTCCTGTGCCTTTTCTTTCCTACTTAACTGAAACTTCAAATTCTAGTTCTACACCATTCCTGTCATTTCTGATATATTTTACTTTGAAAGATACCATCTAATGTACTGTCATCAAGTATTGTGACCAGAAAGTGACTTTGAGTGTAATTATCTTTTTAAGTGAAAAATCATGTAAGCAAAAGAAATTTATTACTACACCTTAGAGGAATGATCAAACCAGCTTTAGTAGGGTCAGTCTGAAAATACTTTAAAACCCCTCAGGACCAAAGTAAAATGTTTAAGTTCTGGACGATGTAATGTTACGTGAACAGAGGAAGTATTATAAACACACTAACCATGTTTTAATTAAAATAGAGTTTATTAGATTTTCTTTTAATATAAACATGAAAGAAAAACCACATTAAGTTGTAGCGTTCTTTTTGAAATAAAACCACTCAATACTCAAATCTCCAAGCTTGACACTGCATGAATTCTTCTTCTGAGGTGGTAGATTGTAATATGTCATATACCATTACTTATCATTTGTGTCTGTCTTAAAAAATGATGGAACCTGCAGCACTCAATATATAATGTGAAGCACTGCTACACTGAGAAAGTATTCCTGGCCCAGAAGGGCTGTGTTTACAGGCAAAATTCCTTGGATTAACTGGACGTGGTGGTGCACGCCTGTAATCCCAGCACTTTGGAGGCGGAGGCAGGAGGATCGCAATTGAGTTTGAGGCCAGCCTGGGATACATAGAGACCCTGACTCAAAACAAAACAAATCAAAACACCTAGAATTACACTTGAGAAGGGTGAGAGAAAGACTCTGTGTAACTGGAACACTAATCTTTAATATTTCACATTCAGGTAACTTTGTAAATCTGCTAAAATTATTTGCTCTCTGCCCTTTAAATTGTGAAGTGTTCCTAAGGTTAAGTTCTCTCAAATAGGACTTGAAACGGGGCACCTATACTGATTTAACATGGAGGCTTTAAAAAGAAACATGCATTATCACTTGCTGCTATCAAATCCAATTCCTTTGCATTTACCACATGTGAATTAACACTGCTCTTCATAATCTACCAAACCCACAGAAAAAAACATTAGATGATCAAAGCAGATAGAGCACAGCCATGAAAGAACTACTTTGAAAATACAGGGTACTTCTGTAGATAGAAAGTATCCCCCAAATGAGTGTAATTTTAAGCTCTGGTACCCATACCCATAGAAGTATAGGTGCTACAGGATTATGTAACATCATTTGAAAGTTCTAATGGCTCAAAGCCAAGATGCACATCCAAGTCAGTCTGACTCACCACTACCCCGCTGGGCTGGCCAAGAGCATCGGAGGCAGACATTTACGAGACTGGAACAAACAAAAGGCAAATATTACAAATTTATAAAATTAAAACTTTCAAATCATGTTTAGCTTAAGTTTGTAGTGTTTATAGCCCTGCTGTAGTGCCATGGAAGGCCCAAACACAGTACACTACACTACTATATACACAGTATACACAAATTACACAACTTTTGAACACCTTGTATCTTACTACCTATTTATCAGTAGATCAGCATGTGGGTTGGCATACGGAAATACAGTAAGTCCCCAATTTATAAATGAGTTCTGTTCCAGAAGAACTGTAAGCTGGATTCATTGGTAAGCAGACAAAGTGAGTCTTTTTTTTTTTTTTTTCATACTGGGGATTGAACTCAGGATCTTGGGCTTGCAAAGCAGACATGGGCGCCACTGAGCTAAATCCCCTGCCCCCAAAGGGAGTATTATACGGTAACCTGTGAAAAGTTTGCAACTCAAATGTTAAGTAGGGGACTTACTGTATCTTTTAATACATTTGACAAGTGGCAAATGATCAGAAAATTAGAGGCACCTATCTATAATAGTTGATGAGATGTAATGCAGACCCCCATTCAATGTAGACAGTAACTTTTATCTTTTCCTTAGGGACCGCAAACATGCCAAAATGCTAGTAAGTAGTGCTTACAAAGATTATGAATGACAAGCGCCATCCAGCAGTTTTATTGGTTTAACGTGCTCAAAACAGAGCCCTAATTTGTATGTCTCACTGCTGAGGCTTGAATCACCATGGGTGGTACTACATGACTGTCCCACGCATGACTCTTATCATTTCCACCACCAGTGGTACAAGGTGCCCAATGGGGCAGTCATGCATGGACCACCAGTGGTTCCAGCCAGTGAGAATGTCAAACTGAATGCCAATAATAACTAGCAGCTTCCATGGTACAGGAAAAAGGGAGAACAACCTTTAATACTAAGCAGTGCTACTTCTAAGTGGCTCATGAGTGTTAAGAGTCTCATGTTTTTGGCTGATTGTTGTAGCACACTGACAGAGAGCTTGCCCAGCACATGGCTAGGCCTTGCATTCCATTTCCAGCACTGTGTAGTTGAAAAAAACAAAAACAAATAAAACAAAAAAAGCCCCATGTTTTAATGGTAATACTCCATTGAGTTTGAAGGCATATGCAGCAATATGGACGGGATAATAGGAAACACATCATTTATATTGTTTGTTAGTGTCTTTAAATTCTAAAAATTTAAAGTAGTCATTAAAAAAACCTCACACATTTCACAGTTATTGGCCTACAAATTAAGCAGGTTATTTCTGTGTGAGTTGGGAGCTTCTGCTTTGGAGTGTTTTGTTTTTTTTTTTTAAACTGTTTACATTAAAAAAAAGACAGAAAGTGTGTTGTTTCTTTGACAAAGTCCCATTCTCTCTATGGAGTGCAACTGTCACTGTCCAGGAGTCCAGGAGTCTCTTGAATTTTTCTTTTCTTTTGGTGAAAATACTAACTTTGCTGGTTTTTGAGCGGGAGAGGAGTTACTTCTCCATACTATGGATCAGGGGTTCATGATTTTATTATCCTTCATTTCTCCCTCTTAAGAGAGGATAGCATTAGAGCGCTGAACACCAATGCAATTGTCAGCACTCAAGGATCTTCGTATTGCAGCTCTACACAAGTCTTTGTCTTCACACAATCTTGAAATGGCCTAGGAAAGTCAAACAGAACACATGTAGAATTTTTAAAATTCCGATTTTAAAGGAAAAAGAGCAGCAATGATGTTGTCACACATGCACATTCTTTTAGATGCTTCACAGTTCTAGCTGCTATGGCTGAGGCCTACAGTGCCAGGATCTGGGGATGGTATGTCTTACCAGTTCACAGAGGTAACATCCATCAAAGATGCTGATTAGATTACCAGGGAAAAAGAAATGTACTCAGCTATCTTAAAACTGAGTTCTCAAAGATGTCAAATGTATTGCAAGAGGCTCCTCACAGCAATTATCTGTTACCTATGCAACTGTTCCTTAAATATAATGAACATACACCCATGCAAAACAATCTGTAAACACTGGCTCAGCTCTCCAGGTTCTACCCAGTCTTCATCAGTTATCAAACATTCTAAGCACCTGTCAGGGAGGAAGGCATGCACAGGCCGGAGGGCAGGATAGGTCTAAATGGTTAAGGCATCCAAAGGTGCTCCTTCAAATGTGTACTAATTATAGTAGAAAAACATTACTCTAATATACCACCAAACTACCACAAAAAGTGCCATTTCAAAGTATGCATGTACTTCAGTTGTGAATTGTTTTGGTGTATGAATACCTGAAGTCATAAGCTATAGATATAGTATTTTTCCCTATGTAAGTTATCAATTCCATTATAAAATTGTGATTTCCCACATACAGTATTTGAAATAAACATTGAACATCCCAAGTATAGGTCTCTCAGCTTAGCCACTAATACTATGACTATTAAGTTCATGAATTTGAATTACGATACCTAAACACTGACATGAAATTTCAAACTGAGTAAAAGTCAAGAATAGTAGGTAAGTGGGCCAGGGATGTAGCTCAGTGGTGCTATGCCTGCCTGGAAAGTGCAAGGTTCTGAGTTTGACTCCCAATACCAAAAAAAGGGAGCAAGCAATGTATATAGACATAATTAGGGACACAGTTTCAAGAAATTATCTGAAGCTGGGAATGGTGGCGCACATCTGTAATCCCAGCACTCAGGAGGCTGAGGCAGGAGGACCACTGTGAGTGCAAGAGCAGCCTGGGCTACACAGTGAGTTCCAGGTCAGTCTCACTACACAGTGAGACCCTGTCTCAAAAAAAAACAAAGACATAAAAACAACAAAAAGAAATTATCTGACACAGTTTTGTAGAAGGGTGGAGGTTCAAAAGGAGAACCATTAACAGGTTAATTTTGACTACAATATTCTGATTTGAGATAAAAAAGGAGATAGTATCTGTAATTTTTTAATAATGTAGATCTTTATATATACGTCAAAAGACCCTGGAAGTAAAATGCTAATAAAGGGTTAATAAGCTCTTCCTTTGTTTTATGAAAAAAATACTGAAATTTTATAACCAAATAAGAGAACAGTCACTATACTATCGTTATCTTCAAAGTAGTTACTCAGAGTACAAGATATAAAGCAAAAAGATTCATACAAAATAAGGAACAACCCAAAACTTTAATAAATTCTTCCATGTGTTAACTGAAAACATTCCCCTTTCTAGGTAACCACTGTTTTGTATGACTTAGTCACAGATGTTGGCTTCGGTGGCTCACACAAACTCCACACAGTAAAAGCACAATCTTACCTCTAGGTTCTGAGCTCTCTCTTTGCTGAGAGGAGCAAAGAGAAAGTTGACGTTGTTGTCATCTGCTAAGGAACGCAGGTCGAAGTAGTATTTGGCATAAACACTAGCAGGAACATTAATATTAAACTGAAGTAGCTCCAAGAAATGCCTTTCCATCTCATTCCTGGGGGAGGGGGAAACACAATAAAACCAACACGGGACAATTTTAGTCAACTGGGCTAGCTTCAAATACATCATTCTGAGCTTCTAAGATGGCTCTAAATTCTGTTTTGAAACAAATAAAGGCTCCCCAGCTGGAATAATACACTAATGCTCAAACAAGGTACAGCTATTTGTGGTCCTTTCTGCATCCCAGCACTGGGACTTTGGGCGGAGGGGAAAGGTTACGGCCCTCTCATGCACTCGCGCTGCTGACTCGGGGGCTCATTCTTCAGAGTTCCATTAGTGCAGCTGTACGATTCATACTCCACACTCACTCCCAAGGCCCCACTATAGTGAGCAGATGAAAGGAGTGATGTATGCTGTTTATTAGCTCTGAAGAACTTGCAGACATTTTCACCGGGCTGATAACAGGAAGGGGCTTATTGAAGTAGGGAAGCGCCAACAAAAGAAGTGGGCATATCACCACGGCAACAAATGGATCCATCGAGAGCCACTGCTATTATCTCCGAGGGGGAAAACTCTTGAGGCAACAAGGATTGATCTCAAATAAATAAATAAATAGGCTGCACTGGAAGGGAAAGGAAATCCCTTCCCCTGGTCCCAGCATATGAGGCTATGTCAAAGGGCATAATGCAAGTTCCTGCTCACCCTAATATCACCAGGGTGAGACACTGTCACCATGACAATCAAGACACTCCATTTATACTTTGGAAAGCAGACTGACCAAAGGCAGATGTCTTGGCTACACTAAATCCACTTTAGGACATGAAGCCCGGGACTTATAAACTCTCTTTCTCCATAGGGAAACCCCAAGATGCTCAGCACTAATGTGCCTCACCACAAGAGAATGCAGTTAGAGTGGAGAGTTCAGGGCAGCAGGAAGGGCAGGGATGTGGGAGTCCTTACTACCTGACCCCAGACCTGCCCCTGCCAGGGCGCTTGCGGTCAATACACACAAGATCAGAGCAAATCTTACCACTGCCACAGGAATTTCTGTAGAAAGTTAAGTTTGCACAAATAAATACTTAATCAAGCATGAGAAAGGCTTATGTTATAATGTACTTGGTTTCTTGGCTTTACGATTTTAATATTTTACCCACTGGCTAAGTAAAAAATGCCTGATGCTGTCCTGAATGGAGAGCATCTAAAAAGTGAGTAGAGATGTGGTTTTCTCATTTGTTGAAATTAAAACCAAACTGAACCTACTTCCACAATTAATTTCCTGTTCATATGGCAATAAGTCTATAGAAATGTAAATCAGATGTTTTGATAATCAGCTAATCAAGACTTAATTTACTACAGGAATGAATGCACTTCAGTACCCTTTTATTTTTTTCTCCACTAATACATTTTAACTGTGTAGAAATACAGTACTTCATGGGATTAACATGTCTATTACAAGAGGTTTCATCACTGAAGAAAAGCATTATGCCGCCTACAGAATATGGATCTTCTGGGGTTTTGTTATTTTATTAATGGCTGAATAGCATACCATTTACAGGCACAGCAAATGTTCTGAATAGGAGCTGCTCAGTTTAACTTATTCTTTTGAAGAGAAATGTATTCTAATAAGATACAAAGGTGGTGTGAAAGTTTTAAGCAAATAAGATAGACGTCAATTTTGTAAAAAAAAACTTTTTCAGTTTGGCCTCAAAAGGAGACCATTATAAATAGTCAACAGCAGGGGGATGAGACAAATATATATTAAATACTGTGCTGTATGCATTCCCATTTCCAAAGATCATGAACAAAAGAGCCTGTTAGCATGGCTCTGTTCACACACAAAAAGCCTCATAAGAACTGGCACTGCAGCCAACCCCTGCCTCCCCTGCGCCTGGAGCTCACGTCTGAGAAGTGGACACATTTTCCTGGATTGGCTCTCATCTTGTAACTAGAACCAGAGCTCCCACCCAGCTTAGTTGTAGATTTTGAAAAAAATTTCAGCTCCCATCCTGGCAGAGGTATTGTTCATGATTAGCAATTTAATTTTTCCAAGGGACCATTTTATAGACTGATGACAACAACAAAGTCACTTTAGTTTCTGCCACTTCCAAAAGTACTTCCACTCGTTTCAGAGTCTTATTGCCACATCCTATGCCAAGATGGCTAACTAAGCAGTATCATGACCACTAAATTTACACTACTATCAAAGTGGTCATTTTCCCCAAAGCCATACCAACTACTACAACCAACCACTTGCCCCTTCTTAGTCTTAAGTATCCTCACATCAGCTGTAAACAGAGTTGGTAATTCTGGATGACAGCCTTATGCAGAATAATGGGCAAAGACAAACACAAACTGTTGTATGATCTTAAGCTTCCTATGATGCTCAGTATGACCCAGAGGTTTTCCTTTCTAAATGCTATCTACAAAGACATTTTCACTGACAACTGGGCACTTGGAGAGTCTGCTGGAGAACATCTCCCCTGCTCACCCTGCCTCCCTCCCACCTCACTGACCTACCCTTCACAGCAGTCAGGGGCCCAAATGGAAGCCCATGTTCCACTGTTGTCTCGGTTCCATGGTACTGTGCCACCTGTGAGGAGCCTCTCAACAGGGCAAGGGTCTCCCCTGTGCTCCCAGTTAGCTCAAGGCCCCACAGTGCTGCCATGGCTGGCTGAGCACCTAGGGAGATGAGCACCAGCTGATGCCCCAGCAGTGCTTCTCAGACTGTTGAGGGGACTCCCAGAGCTTCCTAGCAATTTCCACACACATACAATACACCTAATAGGGAGCAGGCAGGAATACAGGGAACTGAAAGCCTTGCTTTCCTAACTCATGATTTCTGTAACAGCAGATACTGGGGTGGGGGGAATACAATGTGTGAGTTAGGTTGATACTAAAACCTTTTAATAGTCCAGAGGTCATGAGACCTTCACAGTGGCCAAACTTTTATTTCAAAAGCCAGTCATGTGCCCCTTAAGAAGGAAGAGGTACTGGCAGGCAACTTTTAAAAAGCCATAAAGATATGCAGTGTACTATGTTGTTCTGGTAGTAAGCATATAAGATGTTTGGCAAAAAATTGTCAGAAAAATTATTTCAACTTTTCAAACAGATTATTAGAGTAATGGCACGTCAAGATGTACAAATCAATGATGGAAAATATGAACTATTAGAGTACAGATGGATAGAAAATATTAGTCTTATGCCTATTTCCAATACCTGCATGTAACATTTAAAAATAGTTCTTAAAATGTACACTTTATGGGAGCAAATGAGGTACTGGAAAATGGTTAGAAAGTTCACCAAAACCTTACAAACTCACATGTCCTCAACTGTAATGTCCTTGAGGATCTGGCAGTAGTCCACATTCCATACAGCCTGATCGTCCCAAACCTTGGAGGCAAGAAGAATGGCTCCCAAAACAATTCTTTTCCAGTTAGTGGGACAAATGTCGATCTCAGCATAAGTTAAAAGCCTTTCTAAGTAAACCTGCAAAAGTAGAGCACTGGTCTTTGATTTTAGTTCAATTTAAGTGCTATAGTAAGAACTGTTATGAATGACATTTCTTCCATGTTTGACCAGAAAGCAAGTGCCTTTTACTTTTAAGTCCTACAGAGATTTTGTTCAGCCAAAGCAAGAGGTCAGATTACAGTTGGAAGTCAGACACTTCAGTTTCCAACTCTGCCTGTGTAAATCTGCAGTCCCATTTTGGTCCTCAGAATGACTACAGACATCTCAGTAAAGGGCATCCTGAAGAGCGGCACTGTAATCACTGTCATACTTACAAAGGACACAGATGCAGGCCCTGTGTAAAGTCATTCAATACACAGTGAGTGTCTCCCCAAGTGCAAGTTACCATACCCAGCTGTTAGTTTCATGTTGGTTTTAGACATGTCATGCTTGAATATGTAAAAGCCAAGTGAGTATATTTTTATATTCTTGTCATAATAACTGATCCTTTTGTGACACTAGCGGAACAAATGGTGGACAAGAGAGCCTCCCAGTGGCTGCTGAGCAGAGTAGCATGTCAAGCACAGGTCTTAACAGCTATAAAGTATTCCCTTGATTCACTTTTATGATGTGAAAAAGGACAGTCCTTACAGCCCTTATGTTGCACATCTCCACTATCAACTTCATAATATTTTTCTTACATAATCTCCTACTTTAACTTTTTTAAGGTTTTTAAATTGCCAGTCTGTATTCCTCGAATGCCTAAACCCCAACACAGTTTGTGAGACAATCTCCTGAATTATTTTACATACATCAAATACTGATTCCACCAAAAACTGGGTGAAATTAACAAACAAGTGTAGAGAGGAAGCTGTGATTTGCTGTAACTTCAAAGGATACTCGGCAGAAGAGTAGACAGCTTTTGGTATCAGATGGGAGAGTGATTCCAGGACCAAATCTTACTGCACAATTTACCAAGGCTCAAAACCCTTACACAAAATGGCATGGTATTTGCACATACTGTGCACATCCTCCCATGTACTATAAATCATCTTTAAATTACTTACATTACCAAATACAATCTAAAAGCTATGTAAATAGTAGTTATACTGTATTGTTTAGGGAATACGGACATAAATTTCCCTCCAACTATTTTCAACCCACTAGTAGTCTAAATCACAAGAGCAGGGCCCACAGACACAGAGAGCAGAGAGCATATGCTGTTTGAACTCTGCATCAAGACAAGAAAATGGCACACTTTAAGAGCATATTTAGTGTCTGAAGAAGGCTGACAAGCAGTTCAAATCGGACAGTTTTCTCCAGACTCAACCGTTTTCAAAAGCCAATGGCTACTGAATGTTACACATTCTTGGCGAGATTCTCCTCTCATTCCCCAAAACTCAGCACTCTTAATTGTCCTAAGAATCAACCTCCCTCCCTCACAGGATTCAACTCTCTTCTGTATAGAAATGACTGAAGAACAGTGAAACAACACAGACAATTCCTCAACTTCCAGCCACCCTTCCAGTGGGCTTGTTCTAGGCTGACACCTTTACACCACTTGCCCTGCTGTGTGCCTGGAAGACAGTTCTTTTATTCCTATGAAGAATCTCTTCTATTTGCACAGCTGGCCCCCTCCACTTCTGCAGAACAGGTTCCTGCAATTACTATACCTCTTTCTGAGGACTTTCTCCTTCTCTGCTCGATTTTTACCAATATATTTCTGTTGTTTCATCCCATTTCCAACAAGTGCCAGAGTGCTGCTTCTTACTCGGCTCACTGTATCATGCCCATGCCAGCTCATCTGTCCTTAATCCACTTTCGTTTGCCTACTGTCACTATGCCTTGGCTAAAAGTACTTTGCCAAACCCACTGGGACACTCAAACTTACAACCAGAGCCCTTCATCCCAACTACATCCCCCCAGTCCTGGTATGTAAAGGGCAATGCCATTCGCCTACTTGCATGGGCCAAAAACCTACATCTGAGTTATCCCTCTCCAATCTGTTAGCAATTCCCGCCACTTTGCCCTTCACTGGTGAGCAGATGGCTTCCAACCCTGAGCTACCTCCTATCACTGCTGTCTGCTAACTCTCCTCCTTGGCCTCTCATCTGACCCCTAACCAGTTTACTCTCTCCAAAGCATTCAGCAAACACTATTTTTTTTTAAGAGTAGGAAAAATTTACTGAGGGAAAGAAAGCTTCTGTCTAAGACAGAAGGGGGACCAGAAAGTGGGTAGCCCACTCACTATTATTTTCAAAGATGTTTTATATAGCAAAGCCATTTGTTGAGGCAGTTACAAAGTGGGACAAAAGTGTAAGACCCAAAGGAAAATTACAAGGTGGGTATGAGGTGGGGCAAAACCATGACCAGCCAATAAGATTACAAGTACAGTCACCGAGGTAATATTGATTAAATGGGAATCAAATGGGAGAGCAAGTCACATAGCAAGCACACAAGGATTTTCAGTAAAGGGCGGGGGGTCAGGGATATTTCCTGGAAAGGCTGGGTTAAGACCTTGGCCCCCTGTACCCAGGTGATTTAATACCTATTTAGATATCAATCACTGCTATTCATCCCCAGGGGAAGCAAAAGGATATAGTAGTTTCTCTCCTTTTACAATTCTGGCCACAGTGAATGTGTCTTTATTGTCCTCTATGTTGGCTCCTTGCTGTGTTGGTTCCTTGAGGGCTGCCCTGTCCAGCTGCCTACAAGATATGTAATTAATTTACCCTCTTAACACAATCCCACCATCTTGAACCACCGCTGATACACACCTGACTGTCCCATCAGGAGGTACAGTCATGCAAGTACCACCAGATGTTCACCACCTGGCAGCAAAACCTACAGATTATGGCCCTGTTGTGAACTTATTAAATTAGGAGCACTTTGCTCTCCCCATTGAGATTTACCAAAAGTTACCCATCAACCTAGAATTTAACTTTTTCCGGTGGCCTCAAGCTACACAAGGCCCTGTGAGACTGAGACTCACTCCCACTATGCCAGCTGCCCTGCTCTTCCTGGAGCACATGAAACCTGTGCCTGCACCAGAATCCTGGCACCTGTTCTGTTGCCTGTAAAGCCTTGAGGCCCTTAGCGTCTTCATTTCAGTGAGGCTGCTGCTCAATGCCATGCCTCTGAAGTAGCTCTTCCTGATCATTCTATTTAAAATAGAAAACTCTCTAGTCACTCTTTTGCCCTCTACCCTGGTTTATATTCTTGGGATTTACCACTACCTGAAATATTCATAAACTTGAACAAATATTTGATGTCTTTTTCACTAGAACAAAAGCTTATGAAGGCCAGAACTTTGTCCAACATGTTCTTTCTTCTACCCCAGCAGTGTAACAGTGACACAGAGATCTCCAGCGAGTATCTATGCAACTTTTTGGCCACATTTAGCATTCTAACCATACACTCTTATCTGGCTTTATTGCCCTCTCCTCATTTTATTCCTACTACTCTGTCCCTTAAATGCAGACTGTAGATCAGAGCGGATCTGTGAAGACTTCCTCCCCATTTTTCATTGTCCACGTTCTCTGCATTTGAACAGTTATTCTTAATTCTTTCTCAGATTCATGATCCAGTTCTATGTATCCAAATGGTTACTAGACATTGGACAAGCCTCCTCTCTGGATTCTAACTGGATGATACTGCAGTAGGTACTGATCCAAGTACTCTTTCCTCCAGGCCATGCAGCTGACTTTCCACTATGCATCTGCTGGTGGGGAGGAGTAAAACAATCTCAACCACTTAAGCAGAACTGATTACTCAAAATGATAATATCTCCCACTAGGGATTCTGGCTGACCCAACACTAAGCATACCCTATAGCTCAGCAGGCTAACAAAGCCTTTCTAAGAACTACTGGGACTATCATCCTGGGCAACTTCAGGAACAGACACATGGATTAGCATCCATAATACTACAGAGAATTCAAGGCAATAATTCTCAATCACAACATATATCAGAACTGCCTGGGGAAGAAGTACATCCTGGGACCTGGCTAGAACTGCACCCAGTCTGTGTGGACCACATGGTTTTGTAATTGTTCCCCATCCCAGCCTACAGTACCCTGTGTGCAGCATGTGTGTACTGAAATATGGTGGAAAGTCTCTCCTATATCTTTAATAGCAATTGTTTTGTGATGAGAAAAGAAAAGGCAACATTTAAACCATAATGATTACACTCAAATATGTGTACTAACTTTCCTTTGACAGTTTTCTTTAAAAAGTTCTGATGATAATTTCAGGGACCTACTTTGGTTAGAAAAATAAGACTTTACCCTATATACAAGACCAATTTCTAAACATGCTGATAAATAAGAAATATCTTACCAAAGTTACTATTGCACATTCAGCTGTTAGCTGGGCGGCACTAAAGAGGGTTCGAACAAATCTGTAAATAAATTTGTGTTCAGGGTCATGCTTAAAGTACTCCTCTGGAACCTTCTCTCGCTGAAAGAAGAAAGGATGCAATGTAAATAACCACCAAAGAAAATGTTTTAAGTACTCTTAAGATATAAAGAGTGAGGCCGGGCGTGGTGGCTCATGCATATAATCCCAGCACTTGGGAGGCTGAGGCAGGAGGATGGCTATGAGTTCGAGGCCAGCCTGGACTATATAGTGAGTTCGAGATCAGTCTCAACTACATAGTGAGACCCTGTCTCAAAAAACAAAAAAAAGAAACAAACAAAAAGATATAAACAGTGGTATCTTACAATCATACCAAATATAATGACACTTTGGTCAATGATAGGCCACATACACAATCACACTCCCCTAAGATATCACCCAGTAATGCCACAGCCATCTTAGTTTGTGTAAGTACACTAAGTACAATGACGAAGCTGCCTAACAGTGCCTCTCTCAAGACTGTATCCCAATCTTACATAACACATGACTGTACCACCCATCATCATTCAATAAACAAAAATAGACAGGGCTGGGGATTTAGTTCAGCGGTTCCACCACCTGCCTTGCAAGCGCAAGGTACCGAGTTGATCCCCAGTACCAAAAAAAAAAAAGACAAGAAAAATAGACAAAAGCATAGAAAACTAATGTTCCTTTCTATTTTCTTCCACAGAATTCTCAAATTCATTTTTAGTCTGAAAAGTCTTATTTCTCCGTAACCATTCTCTGGTAATTAATGTAAATGCAAACCAAAATGAAATAAATGTAACTGATAAGAAAAGAATACAATCCCCAAAACAAAGTGACACCTACTGTGAGTGGATGTGACCGCTCATCGAAAATATCCAGGGATCTATTTGCATCTCTGTAAAATAAGAATATACACTTAAAATTAATTCAGAAATCATTAATAGTCTACTAACAAATCTTTTATGGGTAAAGGTGGTTGAAGAGAGATGCCTAACCTTCAACAAAGGAAACAGTTCCACAATTTCTCCTAGATTCTGGCCTTAAGACTTTTACTCAGTGCATCAAGTACTGTGAAACCCTTCCCACAATGACCAGCTAACACTGCCTGTAAGTCATGACTCAAACAGGCAATGCTCATGAACCAAATATAGCTTCACTCCTTTCACAAGGCAGCAACGCTTGCCGATCAAGGCTTCAGAACTTTTAATACACGTGAACGAGACTTGGGTTTTCCCAAAACTCTCTTTTTATTGCTCTTCATTTTTATCATGTATTTCTTGTTTCTATTAATTTGTATATAAATGCTTAGCTGCTTTTCTATTTTAAAGATCAGTCTTCTAAAAACTCATTAATTACACTGTGCTCATATAAGCAAGTGATTCTATAAGATTCCCTATACATCTGAGTTATCCCTCTCCAATGTGTTAGCAATTCCTGTCACTTTGTCCTTCACTGGTGATCTGATGGCTTCCTATCCTGAGCTACACCAAGCACTGCTCACCTAAATCACTGTTGTCTCCTCCTCTGCCTCTAATCTGACCCCTAACGAGTCTACTCTCTCCAGGAGAGTATTTTCAGGAGACACACATGGTTAAACTGTTCCTAAGACATTACTTTCCTCTTGGGCACTTGTATGAAAGCAAATATGAGTAAAATGGATTTTATAGCATGAATCAGATTAATTACTAAATTATACTAGTAGTCATTCCATTCTTCAATTCTACTTGTAATTAAAAAAGAAAAATACCAAATAGTCTCTCTGGTGTGAAAAACTGTAATAGTACACAAGATCCTAATGAGATAATTAATACTGTGAAATAGGAAGAAAGGGGCTAAAGGTGTAGGGAAAGTGGGAAGGGTAAGGGAAAGGGAACAAGGGAAAAGAAAAAAAATATTAGAAAATGAAAAAATGGAAATAAAGTGTTTGTAAAAGGGGAGGGGGGAGGGGGTGAAGGGAGTGTAGGGGCAGGGGAAAAAATGAGAACCAAGACCTGTCATGTGAAGGTACAGGATCCCAATAATGAATGTAACTGTATTATATACCTAGATTGTACCAATAAACTCAATAAAAAGAAAAAAAAGAAAAGAAAAAGTCAGACATGGTGGTGCACATTTATAATCCCAGCTCTCCGGAGGCTGAGGCAATAATATTGCTATGAGTTCAAGGCCAGACTAGCCTATATAGCGAGTTCAAGGCCAGCCTGAATTACAAGACCCTGTCTCAGAAAACAGGACTGCTTCATTCAAGCATGTCTTTGATGAAGCAGCAAAACCTAATATAGTAAATCTTGACTTTAATATTCTTAACAATTAAGTGCAAAGTTCACAAGAACCATTTATATGTAGTTATCTTGACTTTAATATTCTTAACAATTAAGTGCAAAGTTCACAAGAACCATTTATATGTAGTTAAGTATGACTATGTTAAAAAGTATTTGTGATTTAGTTGTGAGCTGAACAAGCTGCTTATTAGAGAACACTATTTTTTATTAAGAGTAGGAAAAATTTATTGAGAGAAAGCTTCTGTCTGAGAGAGACAGAAGGGGAACCAGAAATGGGGTTGCTTGCTCATCCTAATTTTCAAAGATGTTTTATACAGCAAAGTCATGTGGTGAGGTAGTTACAAAGTGGGACAAAACCAATGGAAAATTACAAGGTGGGCATGAGGTGGGGCAAAACAATGGCCAACCAGTAAGATTACAAGTACAGTTAAAAAAACACTACTGATGAAAATGGGCCTGTTAGCACAAGAAACATAACCAGTATTTGTTACCAATGACAAAATTCAAATTGTCAAACTAAATAAATATTTTTGGAAAACTGGTACTTTCTGCTGTTCACTCGATAGCGTCTCAATTTTGATAAGACTAGGGGAGTTACTATTAAAAGTGAGTTTTTTACACTATAAAGAAATAACTGGGTCGGGGATTTAGCTCAGCGGTTCGGTGGCCTGCCTTGCAATTACAAGGACCCGAGTTCAATCCCTGGTATCAAAAGAAAAGAAATAACCAATATTTTCCAAAATGACCAATGCATATAAAATCATGTTCTAGTAAATGTTTATTGCACAAGAAACAGTACATCAATAAGTATTCTGTAATTTTTATTTTTATTTTTTTGGTGGTATAGGGGATCAAACTCAGGACTTTGCACTTCCAAGTCAGGAGCAGTGTCACTGAGCTACATCCCCAGCTTTTTTGGGGGGGGGCACTGGGTACCAGGGATTGAACTCATGACCTTGGCTTGCCAGGCAGGTGTTATGCCACTGAGCTCCCTGAGCTAAATCCCCGGCCCCTATCAATAAGTATTAATGTAACAAGTTTATGAAACAATGTAAAATTCCACAATAACTGACTTTGTGTTGTTTAATGTGATAATAAAGAAATATCCACAATTATTTGAAAGCTTTAAAAATATTCTTTTATCCAACTATATAGCTCCATAAGACAAGGATGTCTTTTTACTGCTTCTTCAAAAACAAAATTGTAAATAAATGAAAACCAAGAAATATTAGAATCTAGTTGTCTTCTGTCAAACTGATTTGCAAAATCATAAAGGCATTTTTAATCAACTAAAAAAGAAGCACTTAAAAAGCTACAAATTTTTTTATGAAAAGCTACTTATATTAACAACGTAGCTCATAATTGTGGGGGTAGGGGGTGGGGTGGGGTGATGATGATTATATGATGTCCCCCAGGACAATGTGTGGTTGTTATACATGCAGAAGGATGCTACTAGCATCTAGTGGGCAGTGGACAGTGACACCATTAACATCCTACAACATACAGGACAGCCCCACAACGGAGAATTAGCTAGTTCAAATATCAGCAGGATCAAGGCTGAGAAGCCCAGTATTAACATGCCATATGTGTGTGTATATATAAATTGTATATAAATTATATGTATAATATAAATTTTATGTATAATTTATGTCTTATATATATACCCTCAGTATTAATTTCTTAAATAGTAAATATCAATATAGTTCACAGAAACAAATATTCTTTGGGATCTTCATGACCTTAGAACATTTTTAAAGAGACCTAATTACAACAAAAAACTCCAAATGAGTTGCTTCAATACTGGAATAAAATCACATACACTACTGTAATAAAATCACACAATTAAAATAAAAGTCACATTAAAATGATAGATATTTATGTTATGATTCAATACTATTCTTCATATCATGCAAATCAGGTGGAACAACAAGACAGGTTTTTAAAGAGCTCACCTGTTCTTTATGTGGTAATATATTGCTAAGGTCACACTGTGGAAGGAAAAAAAACATATTTATAACAACTGATTTTATTATCTATTAGGCCTGAAGGCATTTTGGCAGGGATTCCCAGCATCCCTGAAATCCTTCAGTTCAGAATAGCACCACGTGGGCATTTCCCCTTGTTTTAGTTTTTTTTTTTTTTTTGACTTGTAGCAAAAACCAAAATGCTAGATAATATGCTGTTAGAAGACGTTTCTGTTGATTTCAATATACACTGCATATTTCTCCTTCATTTGCTTTTCTACCCATAAAACCCTCTTGTGCATGTTCCACCTATCTACACATGGTTAATTTTAAATCACACACTTTTTTTTTTTTGAGGCAGGGTCTCCCTCTGTGGTTCAGGTTGGTCCTGAATGCACAATGTAACCTAGGCTGGCCTTGAACTCAAGGCTGGTCTTGAACTCCTGCCTCAGCCTCCCAAGTACTGGGATTTCAGGCATGTACAACCATGCCCGGCTCTATACAGTCTTTTTAAAAAAGTTGTTGGACTGGCATTTATTTCAGTTGATTGAGTTCATTATTCATCACTGTTCATTTCTTCGCTCAAAAGTAAATAATGAAACTGCTATATACCAAATAACATCATTTAAAACCAATTTTGCACAACTGTTAGTAGAAAATTTATTAGTATGTTTAAGTGCCAACAAATTGGTAAGTCCAGATATCCTGAAATAATCAGTAATAATAATACAGCATAACTACATGCTATAATCTTTTCAGGCATTTCAAATGAGTTTAAATGAACTATTAGTAAACAGATACAACTCTCTAGACATCATGTTACTGCATCCCAAGTTGTGCACAGATGTTGTATATCAGGGAACAACGGGGTTCTCTGAGGTGTGTTATATGCTTCCATTTGTCCTCACTGTCTAAAATGAAGCTCAAAATAATTGAGGGAAGGCAAATCTGAATTTTAAAAATGTATACAGTATTTTAAATTTTAAAATTAAAAAAGTCTATAACATTATTGCTGTCAAAGATGGATACTTCTATAGTGTTTCAGTTTTGTCTCCAAACTGAGTTTAAAAACCACAGAATTTGACTTCACATGCTGAAGAGGACCACCAAGCTTTCATCCAACAATCCATTTTACAGATAAGGGAACCAAAGCTTGAAACTGACTTGCCCAAGGCCCACAAAATGGGGCAATTCTCCCCAAGTCACATTAAGCAGTGGAACCACCAGAGGGGCTTCAACATTAGCCTGACTCGACCTTGAGACATTTCTGACAGATTGGCATTGGGTATGACCTGGGTACCACAACTGTTCCCTGCAGGATCCCAATGTGCAGTGAGGAGTTAAGATCAGAATCCCCTGAAATGCTTTCATCTAAATAATTACACCTCATCCTCATCCCTAACTTCCTAGAAGACCTGTGAGCACCTACAGATGGAAGGGAAGATGCAGGTGGTAAAATGCCTGAGTCTGCAGACATGTGCAGTATTTTGGAAAAGTTGCATAAGCGATTCTAATAAGGGTAATCCACTATTAAAACAATGCACTATTGTCCCATGACATTAAAAAATTCTTTTCTAAAAGCCAATCTGCCCTATTAGAAAACATTTATTTCACCAATAGTGAATGTACCAAATGATTATTTTTAAAACTTACTGAAAACAAACTAAAACTGTTTTAGTTTACTACAGCCCTCTAAAAATTAGAATGGGGGGGCATGAAACCTACTTGTTTGAGAAAGGTTACTCTTTAAAACTATATACTGAATTATACACTGAAACATCATCACAATATTTTGAATTCAAAAGAAGCTGAGGACCCTAATTCAGAGTGGTTTTTCACTCATGGATTTAAGACTTTGGCTGAATATAAAACATTCAGTGATTACTTGGTAGGTGCCAAATCTTAGGACTTTAGACAGTGTTATTTTTACTGAAATACAATTTGATCTCAAGTACTGTAAGTGTGAGAGAAAAGTTACATTGAGTGTGAATTAATAGAAGTTATTGGTAATTTACATGAGCTAAAAAATTAAAAAGCTAGCATATTAGAAACAAAATTAAATTTATAAGCTAATTACATTTTCAACTGAAAAGTAAATAAATTATGGATAAGGATATTAACATTCTAAAAAAGCACTTATAACCTGTCTTCTGAAAATCAAGGAGACATCAATAATGTTTCCTGAACAACTCCAATGTAGTGGGGAAACTGCACACTGGTTTTTGTTGTCATTTTAGTAAGCTTAAAAGGTTCCTGTCAGGGCATTCTGATAGCGTCTCCAATAGTGACTCATGTTCACATGTGACGGGGAAAAATTCAAGTACAGATTCACTGTGGTGCCAGCAGAGGACAACCTATTCCTTCTTTCACAATTCCCAAAGTGCTGAACATTGCTTTAGGTCTGCAACTTCAAAGAACTTTTTCTAGAAACAGCCAATAAAAAGCACCTCTTATTATGTTCAACAGTGTGTTGACAACATAAATGCATCAAATAAAGAGGCATACTTTTCTTGGGAGTCTTCATTTGCTAACTGGCTTTCCCTTCCACCATGCAGTCTGAGAGGTCCTTAAAATCAGTATATAGTTGGTCCCAAATTTTTTTTTGGTACCAGGGATTGAATTCGGGTCCTTGCGCTTGTGAGGCAAGTGGCAGAATCACTGAGCTAAAATCTCTGGCCCCCAACTTCTTAAACTGAGCACTGAAAAGGATAATCAAATAGCTGAAATTACCAAGTACGGCTAGAATGCTTTTGGCAGAAGGGAGTCTGTCACTTAGCCCTTGGTAACCTAGTTGTACTCACCATTTTATTGTGGTTCTAAGATTAGGCTGGCTGACTGTGCTGTCATCTAGAAATATTGTTGAGCATGAGCTATACTTTTTAGTAAGCTGCCCTGGAGATACCTGAAGGGGAAGGGAAATAGAAGAAAATGTCACAGTAAGTTAAATCTATAAAAATGTGTCTTTTTTCCTGGGTTAAAATGTCAAACGATAAAGCATTAGATATTTCTTACACTGCATGAGCTGCTTGAGTGAGATTTCATGTGTGGATCTATAGAAACCCACTGGAGGCTCTTGACTTCCACAGATGATATTGAAGAATGGGTTATAAAATGCTGCCCTTGGTATGGTACCCATATCAAACCTAACAAGCATCTATTATGAATTCCCTTATAAATATCATAAAATGTTTAAAATAAGCTATCACTGTTTTTCTCAAGCAATAAATAGTAAGTTATTATTTGGTAACTAGCATAAAATGTAGTGGCTTAAATAATATCGGTAAAAGAGCAATTTCCTGAAGCAAGTGAAAGCCTAATACTTAATTAATACTAAATTTGATGAAACAAATGCATTAGTGTCAAAAACTCTACGCACCAGGCTGCTCAATCACTAATAAACCTTGAGCCACAGGTTTCTCTGGGTCTGTTCTCTTGGTTAGAGGATAAAATTACTACTTTAAAAAAAAAATTATCTCACAAAATAGATGACAAAAACAATTTTGAATATTTAACTTTCACTTCATGTTTAAGTCACTTCATGACTGTCATTACATTACTCAAATGAAAACTTCAGCCTTCCTGCCTCATACATGCTGCTTCTCTGCCTAGAATGCCTTTTTCTTCTTCCCTGTCTCATTTACCTTCTGGGACATGTCTCCCAGCAGCCACAGATAAAACTTTTGCCTTTTTTGTAAACTTATCCTCCAATTAATTCACCACTGTTACAGGACATCAACTGCCTGCAGGGAATCCCCTCGGTAAGAAACGAAGCTTCTTCAGAAAAGGAAGGATTCTTTCAACTTCTACTTCCTGCTGCTGAGCACAGAACGTGGGAAAAATCAATGAGTTCAACAAGGGTTGGACAAATCATTAAGAATCCACTAAAATTTGAGAGGTAAGTCATACAACAGATATCCATCAGTGAGAATTTAGTTGCAGTGGTTACAATGAACTTTTTGAGCCCTTTAAAGAATAAACTACCTTTAAAACACTTTAGAAGTATCCATTTATTTGCAAAGAATAAAAGAAGACAACAATAGTCAAATAATGAAATAGCCTAAACTATGTTGGCAATTTCTTCCTTAAAAGCTAATAACCAAATCTTGTCTGAATAGCTCAAGATTAACAGCAACATTTCTTTTAAGCCACAGAATATCAAAAATTTTAATGTTCTAAAAAAAAAAATGAATTCAGATGAGCCTTCCTTCATTCTATCTTCATTCTATTAATATAATGCTTTCCATCATGCTGTAGCTCTCTCCCATCAGTATTCTCCACCAACACAGGAAAGATGGGGTAGAAAGGAGACCTAGTTATAAGTACAGAGCATGTACATACTGATAAGAGCCCAGGAATGCCCATACAGTATACTTGTTTCAGATGTTTTAACTACAAGGCCACTTACTTCTAACTGACAAAAAGACCCCGATGAATTTTTGAAAAGTGTGACTATTTGGAGTGCTAAATTCTCCTTCAAGCTACAAATATCTTTTTTTCCCCCAGTACCAGAGATTGATCTTAGGACCTTGTGCTTACCAAGGCAGTTGTGGTGCAACTGAGCTACATCCCCAGACCAAGCTACAAATATTTTAACTGTATCTAAACTCTGATGTTTCTTAAACTAGTCTGGTTAAGGTGTATTATATTAACTATGTATTAATGCATATACTTTTATAATTAAAAAAAGCAAATACTGTATAAACAAATGAAATTCAATTTATTCAAATATTTTTATTAAATATGGAAGAGATCTTTTTAAGGTCACTAGTACAGACTAAGTATTCTAAATTCAAACTGTTCAGAATCTGAAGAGTTTCTGGATTCTTTTGAAATCTCAGAATAGTTCCAAATATGTATATATATATAATATATAGAGAATCTAGTTGCAGTGGTTACAATGAACTTTTTGAGCCCTCTAAAGAATAAACTATCTTTAAAACGTAAGATAAGTTTGAATCTATATATACTATATATATAGTATTGGGGATGGGAACTAAGTCTAAACACAAAATTCATTTATGCTTTCATATAAATCTTATATACACAGCTGCAAGGTAATTTTATACAATATTTTCAGCAAACTTGTCACATGAGTCAGCTTGGAATTTTCATTTTGCAGTGCACTGCTACCACTCAAAAAGTTTTAGATTTTTGGAGAATTTTGGGTTTCTAAATTAGGGGTGCTCAATCTATATTACAGGTAATGTGGCATACACTCCATCATTATCAAAACTCAATTCTGCCAGGAGTGGTGGCACACACCTGAAATCTCCAGCACTTAGGAGGCTGAGGTAGGAGGATCGTCATGGGTTTGGGGCCAGCGTGGGCTACACAGTGGGCTCAGGGCCAGCCTGAACTACAAATTGAGACCCTGTGTCAAAAAAAAAAAAAAAACAATTCTGATGAAAAGTCTCTATACAGGAATAAAAAAAATAAAAAGTAGAAAAACGAATCAAAATATAGACTAGCTGACAGTGCTTGGTGATTATTTTACTTACAATTTTCCTATTATGGATGTATATTAGCCTGTCTTTGAAAATATTGGTGCTTTTCATTAGATGTGATCTTACAGCCCCTTATGGGAGATCATCTAGAGAATCAATAATCTATCTCCTAGATTCAGCCAAAGAAACACTGAACACCTCCCCATCAGGTTAGACTTTTCATCTCCTGATAAAGACAAAGAAACTACGTACTCTGGAGAAACAGCAACCTCTGCCACACTCCCACCCCTTATCAAAGTGATCAGAAAAGGTGACTGTAGAGACTCTCTGCTAAGCAATATACAGCAGAAAACATAACACTCACTTCAGCTATTCAAGCTTTTCAATCTTGAAACCAGAGTTAAAATTAAGCCTCTCAGCAAAGTATGGAAAATAATAGCTACTAATAGGTAACTGTCCCCTCATCTCACTTAAAAGTTAAAAGACAATTTCCCTTTATGGTTAAAACCTTACCAATGGTGACTTACAACCTTAATAAACTGACAAAAATTAGGCTAGAAAATGCAAATATTAAAAAGAACAGCAAAAACACCATTCGCAGGTAGTTATTAAAACAGAGTAACATTTATCTTCAATCAGCACAAATGACGGAGTATAGAATCTTGCAATCTTTACAGAAAAGGAAAAGGGGTACTTAGTAGACTTACAATTAAATGATAATAACTAGAAAATAATCATATTCTTGCAGTCTACCAAGTCATAATAACCCCAACCTTACCAGCAAAGAGCAAATACTTGTTGAAATTCTGTCCTTACTCATTGACTTTTCCCAATGTGCTACCTGCCTCTATTTTAAAAATATTAAAGTATTTTAAAAATAATACATTCACTTTTTTCTCTCCTTTTTTGTTTAAATTTACTTTTTTGGTAACAGGGATAGAACTCTGGTCCTTGAGTTTGCAAGGCAGGCAGCGGAACCACTGAGCTAAATCCCCCGCCCTTCTCTTCTTTTTTTGTAAGACAAATACTGGATGTTTTCAAAGGATTAATGACTTAATTAACTTGTTTCTTGCACTCTATGCATTCAAGAAAATTGTTCACCTGTGTTGTACAATACTGGGACAATATGGCAGGACACACGGTTTGAATCGAATTTTTAAGATGGGCGTACCAGGGATTGAACTCAAGACCTTGTTCTTACAAGGCAGGCAGTGGCATGTCATCACTGAGCTAAATCCCTGGCCCAAATATATTGAATTTAAACTAAAGTATATAATTTAAATAGGCCTAAATTCATTCAAGTACATTTAAACATTGTGTACTGACCACAAATCTATTTCACCCCCCTCCTTAAATCATAAAATAAACATTATATACAAGGTGAGGAGACAGGCTTGACTATTTTTAATGTCTGAAAGCTGAAAAGTTGATAAAGAATGGTAATATATGGAAGAACAGTGGAAGCAAACTCCAGTCAGTGCCTATGGAAGGTGACCTGCACTGGAGTAGGCCAGCCAGTTTGTCTGGCAGAACCTACAGCAGGCTCCCAACTCAGAAGCACACACCAGCTTAGAGTGAAACATAAGCAAAGGCCGGGAAGATGAGTGGAGCCCACCCATCATCCACTTATATGCATCAAAGTATTTATTCTATAGAGATATTGAACATGCTGACTGCTCACAGTTTCTGGGCTTAGATATTCCTGTCTCAGGTATACCAAGACTGGGAGTTTAGAAAATAAGAGGAAAAAGATTGTACACTGCAAACTGGAGTTCTACCTCCTTTACAATTTCTGGAAAATAATGAATCCCACTTGTCCTCCCCAGACAGAAGACTGGGAGCTCATTCTAAGGAAACTAAACAGTCCCAGAGAAGATATGAGGTCCCACAAATTTTCCTTGAAACCCTTGCAGTGAAAACCATCAGTTAACAAAATCCTGCTCACATATGGTACTTCCAAACAGAGAACACCAGGGACAACCACATATTTGAGGGAAGCATCCAACCAAAGAGGGCAAAACAACAGGAAAAAGGAATTTATGGGAGTGCTAAAATTTCAAGAGCAAATGGAAAGTTAGAAGGGCTAATGCCTAGAATCAAGGAATCCCTAAGAATAAGGAAAAAAAAAGGAACTAGAAAATAGGAGGGAGAAATTGGACATTGGTGCAAAAAAATTGGTCTAAGAGGCTTAATATCTGAATAAAAGGACAAGACAAAAAACAGAAAATATCAAAAAGTTTTAAAAAATATTCTCTAGAAGAATCTGCAAGACTTAATAGACCCAATAGGATTTAAAGGTCCATAATGAACTCTTATCTTGAACTTTCAGCATCCCAGAGATAGAGAAGATATTAAAAGCTTCCAGGGAAAGGATGGGAAAAATGACTATGACTGGTTACGTACAAGGGATCATACAATGGCAACAGATTTAAGAGCAACACCAGAAAAGAGATGAACACTAAGAAAATTAGTTTCCACCTAGAATTCTACTCTTTACCAAACAGGAGGGGTTTTCTGACAGGTTTTTTTTGTTTTGTTTTGTTTTTCTGTTTTTTTGAGACAGGGCCTCACTATATAGCTGAGACTGACCTGGAACTCATTATGTAGCCCAAACTGGACTTGAACTCACAGTGATCCTCCTGCCTCAGCCTCCCAAGTGCTGGGATTACAGGCGTGTGCCACCAAGCCCGGCTCTGACAGTTTAGATGGACAAAATCATCCACATACCTTTTCCAGGAAAACACGCTCCGGAGCTGGGCATGGCAGAGCACACCTGTAATCCCAGAACTCAGGAGGCTGAGACAGGAGCACTCAGGAGGGTTGCCATTACTATTAGTTCAAGACCAGCCTGGGATACATAGTGAGTTTAAGACTGGTCTTAACTACACAGTGAGAGCCTGTCTCAAAACACACACAAAAAGATATGCTCTTGTAAAACAACGGAGTATAGCAAGATGGGGGGAACAGAATCTTAGGATATAAGAGGATTCAACACAAGAGAGCAGTTATGTGAGATCCCAGATGATCTCAAAGAGATATCCGAGAGAAAGAACAGACCTAAGGACAAAACATCTGGATTGGACTAGAATGACAAAAGGTCAAGGAGGGCTGCCTCCAGGAGAAAAATGGAACAGATGGGTTTTAGGAAATGGAAAATATTTCTGATAGGGTTGTGACAAATGTTACAACACTTGGTGGGGAGTGACTGGTAGAAAACAGACAAGTAAAAATAGGAAATTAGTCCACAAAAGAGAAAGAATGTGAAACAAGGAGACTTGCCAGGTGCTACTTGTATTTAACTATGGACCTAATGTTGGCTAGGAAAAGAGCAATTATCTAGGAGTACAGAAGTACTCAGATTTCAGAAATATTTAGGAGGAAGAATTAAGTGTACCCAGGAGGCAGCACAGTCAGTACTGAAGTCATAAAAATGTCAATTAGTGACTTAATTAAAAACTGATACATGACAGGGAAACAAAGAAATAAGGTCTCAATGGAATGAGAATGCTAAATGTTTAGCTACTATGATAGAAAACCAACAGAAATAAAAACTAATTTATTAAATAGTTTACTTTGATTGAAAGAAAGACTGAAAAAGTAGGACAAAAATTTCAGGTAGATCTTTACAATCATATTATTTAACTTAAATGCCAGAAACCCTTAAAAAATGGACATTATTAAGTCAAAGCCCTTCCTGAGTAAATTTGACATTTAGGGAAATAGAAGAAATTTTAAAAATACACAAAAAGAGGTCCATAGTAACAGTACTAGGTCCCCATTGCATTTTTTAAGAAATCTTGGCAAACAGATATACTTTTAATTCAAACTATTAATTTCTTAACTTTTGAACTATTTACTTACATGGTTTAAATGGTTGCTCTTCCTCTTTTCACGCACTAAGGAAAAAAAAATTAACTGATGAATTCTGATACAAATGCCACAGAAAAATAAAAGTAACCACTAATTATCTGATGAATTACCAATATGCAAAATGAGATAAAACTCCATTCCAAAAAATAATTTCTAACAAAATTAATAATTTAAATATTTGGGAAAATGAGCTCCATAAAACAAAACCCAGAATTTAGTTTTACTTTTTACCTAGCAGATAATAATAAGTACAAATGAGGAACTCTCTATATACAAAAGTGTAAAACGAATTGAACTAAGTAAGAAATTTAGCTGATAAGAAAGTTCACACACCTACTGCACATCTCAACAACTAAATAGACTTTACTAAGTAAATAGTGTTTACTAACTCTGCATTTCCATACACCTTAATTACCAACATCCAACAGCTGACAGCTCTGAGAACCAGTATCTGATCAGGCACTGATTTCTGCCCACAGAATCCCTGGGAGTATTTTAAACAACCTACTGATAATGGACTAAGATATGTTACTGAAAGAAATTAATGGGTCTTTAGACAATTGAAAAGCAACCTATCTTAAATTTAAGTTGTTAAACCAGTGTGCTAACCTCATTGAACATTGTATCTAAAGCACACTAATTCATTTTGCGCTAACAAAGACCAGAACAATGCTCAAGAGACTTGGACCATGCTGCCTTCTAACACTAGAAGGCACTGTAGGCACATATTCCTTTCCACTGAAGAGAAGCGCCAGGCATAGCTTCTATTGCTTCCTCACATTCTACATCTGACAAGCCTATTGCTCTTGAAGAAACTGAGAAATATAACAGTGCTAATCAGAAATGACAGCTCAAGACAGACCTAAGTACATACAAACTATAAAAATGCAAGTAAGAAACTCCCAAATTTTACTGTGCTGCATGATTCAGTATCACTATAGAACCCTCATTTCTTAAATTCTTGCTGCCTATAGTCAACTGAAATTTGGTCATGCATGGGCTTTTAGGGGGAAAAAAAAAAAGACTTTAACCAAATACTGAGAAAAAGAAGCAGGGGTACAGAAAAGGTGTAGTTTGAATTCTCATCCTAAAACAAGTACAACACAGGAAATATACACTAATTTCACACACCAGCTAACTTAGGAAACTGTCCAGCAAGTGTGCTCTAATTTTCATTACATTAGGATGAAACAGTTTTGAATAGCTTAAAGGTTCTGAGTAACATAAATGGGGATGTGAGATAGGCTCATTTGGTTAGAGCACTGTATAAAACAAGGCCTGGGCCGAGGATTTAGCTCAGTGGTGCTGCTGCCTGCCTCTCAAGTGCAAGGTCCAGAGTTCAATCCCCAGTACCAAAACACAAAACAAAACAAGGCCAAGCATCCCCAATCCAATCCCTATGTATAAAAAAAAAACAAGTTTTTTTTTTTTTAATTTGTTCACATGAAGACCTAATGCAGGGCTGGGGATTTAGCTCAGTGGTTCGGTGACCTGCCTTGCAAGTGCAAGGACCCAAGTTCAATCCCCGGTACCCCCCCAAAAAAAACCTAATGCAATCTAATTTGTCATGTGTCTTTAAGACATGTTTTATGGAATGAGAGGAAAAAGGCAAAAGAGTACGGAATAAGTCTATGGCTACTTATAAATCATGTAGTCTACTGTACATCAATAAAGAGATGCGAAAATGTATAAATAGGAAGTCCACAAGTTCTCATTAGAAGAGTGACAAAAGACAGTAATTATCCCATATTGAAATAAGCGAAGGTAAAAAAAGCTGAAAAATTTAAACCAATGTGTAAGTTCTCTGAAATATTTTCTATAGTATATCACACAAAATACAATTTTCAGCCTTATGCTTGATGGGAAAAATATCCCTTACCATCTGTTTGAGATTTGCTCAGGAAAATTGTGCTTGCCCTTGGATGATCAGAAGGGTTTGACTCCAAAGCTAAATCTAGAGAGGAAGAAAAAAAGATGTGATAATTTAGTTTAGTAAAAATGTAGATGGTTTCAAAATAGCTACATAGCAGCTTTAATCACTTCTAATAGTCTTTGGCAAAGTTTTTAGTTATGAACATAAAAAAAGGCAACAATATAAAAATTGTATTGTGGAACTGTAAAATTGTAGAGTCTCTATATACATGTAGAATAAAAGCAGGTTATATCTTAGACTTTTTTAACTTGTACCAAAATAATCTAATGCAACTTTTAGATAAATCTAATGAACTTTTAGATGAGTATATGTCCCCTCTCTACTTATCCAATGGAACACAAATGCCCTCCCTGTGCGGTTATTACTACCACATTTTGGGGACAGTCTCAAGCAGCAAGTGATGCCCTGGCTAATTTATGTACGAGTTTTCATCATGGCAGATATGAGGACTACGTAACATTTCCTAATATACACAAGCACTTCCATGATGGAAACTGATTTTCTGCCAGGCTTGGTGGTGCATGTTTGAAACCCCAGCACTCAAGAGGCTGAGGAAGAAGGATCAAAGTGAGTTCAAGGACATCCTGGGCTACCTAGCAAGACCCTATCTCAACAAAACAAAACAGAAAAATAAAACAAAGACAGAAAGAAACTGTTTTCATTTCCAAGTCTACTCTCACTTCTTTTATCCCACAGACTCCCTTGGGACCAAAGTGAGATAATCTTCTATTTGGTTAAAACTACAAAACAGATTCTTAAATTTTCATAATACATATTTTGCCATAATATGGATAATAAAAGTTATCATGAGGGTAGTTGGGGAACCAATGACATCTCTCACTACTAACTTAAGCCACTTAAGCAATTTGTAAGAAACTAGAACAAGATTTAGATCGAATAATGGTTAAGCAATACCTGCCTAACCGTATGTCAACAAGTGTTCTATTTTTAAAGGGGGGTTCAGTCATCAAATCACAACATATTCTGATATATTAAAAACTAATCAGTCTACTAATGACAACTCAGCATCACTAATTTATCTCCTTAGAGTCCTCCCCTTCCCCTCTCCAGGTAATAAAGTTAGAATCTTGCATGAACTTCATTTGTGACTTCGAGGTCACTAGACATGAATTACATAGTTAAACCAACTGCTTTGTTCTTCAGGAAAATACCTTCACTCAAGTTTATTAAATTGCTTCCGAAGAAAACCATTATTAAGAAAAATATCCCCACAAAAAATAGTTTGAGTTTTTTTTTCACATCTTTGAAAAGATGAGACAATGTTAGCCAAGTGGAAAAATAAAATCCTGTTGTGTACAATGTGATAGACAGAGGCTTTCCAACTGTCGACCCGGAAGCTTCTGAAAGGACTTAGGATCACCCTGACCAAAAAGAAGGCAAATATACTGCCACTTGAGTTTCAAATGTTATTAAACTACCAGAAAACAGTCTACAAAAGGGCCACAGTATGTAATTCAAAACTTTAATGGAAGTATAGATTAAGTATCAGAATTAGAGCAGCGAGCTTACACACACACATATACATACACACACACACCCCTCCCAAATTAAGACATGCTACTATGTATTTAAAAACAAAATTTTAAAGGCTGAGATAAAAGAAATCACATCATGCAGAAAAAAGGAAAAATTAGCTCAAACGTAAGTCTGGCACTCCCTTACCCAGGATTTTAGAGTAGGCACATCACCCAGGGCTGCCAACTGGCTAATTTTTTCCATCATGAGAGGAAAGCCTTTCCAGAAGAAATGAACAGAGGAAAAGAGAACTGAAACAGATTTGGAGATCATTTCTCTTCCAGGTCAAGGTGTACCTGAATGACTTGTGAACTTCTTGCTTATACAAGTTTATTTTGAGACAGATCTTCTTTAACTTGTAAGAGATTCAGTTATTCAGTAGTAATGATGATCATACTCAAAGTGGAGCTAGTTAAAAGTCAATTTCTCATTTAACAAATACCATGAACAGAAAATTGCAAATACATAATTGATGCTTTAAAAATTATCAATACACTCACAGCCATTACTTTTAGTTTCTTTTCTTATGCATATTTTAAAAATAGCTCTTGGGTAGAGGATGTATTTCAGAGGTAGAGCATTTATTTGCCTAGTACGCATGAGGACCTGAGTTTGATCCCCAACAATGCAAAAAAACCCACCCACACCCCTCTGAAAAAAAAAAAAAAAAAAGCCCAAATCTCTTATCAATATACAATTATGTTCTATTACAGAAAAGTGATCTCCACCACTTTCCAATATATTTACTGTTTAATTAATAATATACAGTGGTGTAGCAAGTGTTACTCCTATACTTTACTTAGCAATCCCATAGGCACTTAGAAAAATTTAAGGAAAGCCATCAAATATATAGTATTTTTAAATTATTTTTATCTCTTTAGGAAGTATTTTCAAAAGTAAGGTTATAAGTCAAAAGGCTAGACTGATTTCACTGTTCAAAATATCATGATAAGCTTCTTTCTATGGAACACAGAAAGGTTCCTAAAGGACATTAGGGTATAACGCTGCCAATTACACCAGATTTAACTTCTATCCCAGCTTTGAATACTATAAAATCCTGCTGATGTGAATGATCAACATTACTGTGGATATAATTTGCATATATTTAACTACACAGCTTGACCACTGTTCTATAGTTAATAATGGTATTTTTACTTTGGTGATTTTTATGTCATTTGTATGTACTATAGGCACTGTGTCCACTAGGGCTTTAACTTTGTCACATTTGTATAAGGTTTTCAAAAAATACTAATTGTGTCTGTAGCCCAATTTTCTTTATCTCTTCTATTTTCTGTTAATGATAAATACAACACATTCCAATTTTATAGAATGGTCATTTAAGCCATTAAGCAGTAAATTTATACACACTTTTAATTTCTGCACTTTCCATTAACGACTTCCAAGAGCCTAAGGAGACCGATGAATCACTCTACTCTATTTTCACTACTGCACAAGAAGATGAGACTACCAACTAGTAAGGCATTAGGTCCTATAAACATGCATGCATACACACAGGCATTTAGAGAGATGTCAAGAAAATAAAAACATCAATTAACATGCATCATATATGTGAATCTTTTTTTAAAAAGTTTAAAAAACCCATAACAATGTTTTATTTAAACTATGAAAAATATTCCTTTGCTCATGATTTGGGATTATGATTAAAACTGCATTGTAAGATCAATCATTTTTCTTTTAGTTTAAATTACAATTTAATTTGATAGCCTAATGGTTTGATATAAAAAAGTACAACTAAAAATTTTAAATCCCTTTTATTTTTTGGTACCAGAAATTGAACTCGACACCTTGCCTTTGCAAGGCAGGCAGCAGAACCACTGAGCTAAATCCTGGGTCCCAAATCCATTCTAATGTAAATGTACTGTAGAAGAAGAAATCTGTAAAATGTGCTGCTATCTGATACTCTTTTCCCATAGCCTAAGATTCTGTTACAAGATCTAAACTGCAGATAGTAAAAATGTAAAAAGCACATGCAACTTAGAATAAATGAAACACATTACTAAAAGCTAAAATTATTATTTTCCTTATTTGAGTTTATTTGTACATTTTAGGTATACAGTACAGTTACATTCATTATTGGGATCTTGTACCTTTACATGACAGGTCTTAGTTCTCATTTTTTCCCCTTGTCCCTGCCCTCCCTTCACCCGCCTCCTTCCCCATTTACAAACAGTTTATTTCCATTTTTTTTCATTTTCTCCTATTTCTTTCTTTTCCCTTATTACTTTTCCCCTACCCCTTCCACTTTCCCTACATAAAAGCTAAAATTATTAAATATATGCAACTTTATAAACTGTCATGAAAATGTTAAAACATTAGAGCAAGTTAGCAGGGACTATATCAGTACTATCTGACAAAAACAGCATTATTTTGGAAAAAGAGACTGATTTCAATATACTCCAATTAAATAGAAGACACCTGCAATTTCTGGGACCACTGCTGTGCACCTGTTTAAAGGCTTATTGCATTTACTGACCTGCTGTCATCCCTGTACTGTTTCATGGTTTCACTGATTTCAAGTTCACATGTCCCACCAGCCTTCAGCAGCATACACAGGACACAGAGCTCCACCTGCTCCAGTCTAGCTCTCACTCCTATCTGGCTCAGGCTGCCAAGTCACTTCTGGACCTGCCTCTGCTCGGTTTTCAGTCTTACTTTGTTTTAACCTTGATCAAAAGTTTAGTGATTGTGACCAAAACATTACACCTCACATACCAAGTATATTTTTCTTCCTTTACATATTTTTAGGAACATTTTACTCAATTTCTTAAAACTTCTAAGAACATTTCTAGGCTTCAGTTATTACTTCCATTTCACTGTGCATTATCCAACGTTATTGTTTTAACTGTTTGATTACCCTAATATCCTGGGGAGAAAAGGGTGACAGAAAAGACAGAAGTAAAGAAGCCCACACAAGTCAATCTATAAATTCTATGCCTTATAGGCATGCTGATCTACCAAGTCTTATTTTACAAAACCTTGAAAAACTAAATTTATATTTCTCCTGTGTAAAATAATTTCTATGCTACCTAACTCAAAATAAAACAGAATCAAATGAAATATAAGATTAATCTATATAGTACATAATACACAATCACAAAGCTTTCACAAATAACCTCAAGAGCAAAAAAATGAACATTTAGTATTTCAGTGGAAAATCCATACCAAAATAACATCTTGGGCAAAAATATGGTCTGGCAACCCACTGAAGGAAAAATTACACACAATCACACATGACTGCCAAGAATTTCTTCCAGTGTTTGTTTTAATAAGCAAATACAAATTATTTCTCCTCCTTCCTTTCATATATATCACTGCATATCCTCCTGCTCTTTTTCACCTAACACACCCTAGAGATCACTCCACAGCAGTAAAGAGATCTCTTTGATTATTTTTACAGCTCCATACACATTTACATAGATACATTCATCTACCCATGCATGGATGAATCAGCTTACCAGCCCCTC